TTTAGCGTCAGTGAAGTACCTAGTACGACCACAAAACTGGCGCCCTTAGTCGCCCCCAAAGAAAATTAGAATTACAAATAAAAATTGGAAATACTTTTTAGCGTGCAATAATATTAATTGTGTGGATAAATTATAACATAGGGTTTGGAGTAATTTTACAGGCGAAACGCATTTTTTATAACTAAAGAAAATAAATAATTTATAATTTAAAGGAAACTATAAATACCAAGATGCCTTCCGTTGTAAAACTTTACCAGTATTCATTGAACAAAACATATAATTTTGATTGTACATATAATTTATATTGTATATACAAAAAGAAAACATAAAATGCATTATTTATTAATAAATTAAGGTGCCCCGATGAATAGCATTAAAACTATTGCACTGATTGTTTAATCTAAAAACATAAACCTTGGTATATAATTATAATAATATATAACATAAAAGTAAAATTGAAAAGTAAAATTTTATACATAACACTGCTTCATTTAATGGTATTAAAAATTATCCTTTTAAATTATTTCTTTTAATTCTTTTGAACATTATCTTCTTCCCTATATAAGTGGTTGGTGTTGTATCCAAATTTGTATTAGTGGCTTTTAAGTCTTCTCTGAGAATATTTAATTCGTAACGTGATATTCCTCTCCAAGCTTCTAATTCCGACAGATGTCGTAAGTTATCGCAATTCTGCATCAATAATTGTACTGTTTTCATTGATAAACTATGACTGTCTAAAATTTTTAGCTCTTCTAACTTCCTCATTGGATTTTGCAGAAGTATACTTCTCATTCTACTATCTCCAAGTATAGCTGCATGATACAGTTGTATGAATTTAATATTTATGCAATGAGAAAGCAAAAATTCTAGGTGCATGATTGGAAATTCTGTTGTACATATGATTCTTTCTAAAAATTGGAACGGTCGAATTGCGAGGTTTAGTGAATGTACTCCATATTCAAATAGTTTGCAACTATCAAAAACTAGGTCCCTTATGTCTGGACAGTATTGACTTATCGATATAAGTGCATCGAAATCAATTCTTCTTACATACTGCAAGTGCAGACTTCTAATTGCACAACCTTTGATTTCCAATAGTGTCTTTATTCCATGGGTATAAAAATCACAATATGCGAGCTTTAATTCTTTTAAATAATCAAGAGTAGCTAGAACTGACAAATCATCAATATCTTCGCAATATTCTAAACAAAGTCTCGTAATATATGGACACAGATCAATTAAAAGATATAAATGTTCCATACTAATATTTCGAGTCTCTAATGTTCTTATATGAAAAGAACTTCTATCGTCGACATCTTCCTGATAAGTATGTTTTAAAACATCCCCAAATTTATTGCATCTACCGATATCTTCTATTTTTAAATGTTCTAAAAGGAGATTTGCATAACCAGGTACAGTCATAGAGGTCATATGTAGTTTAACGTGTCTTAAATGTTTACACGAAAGCAAAGGACCAACGCTGCTTTCTGTTACTAATTTAGAATTATAAACATCTAATTCTTGCAGCTTTTTACAATTTTTAGCTAAGACTGATATGATATTATCTGTACAACGAAAGTGTAAAATAAAACATACTAAATTTGGCATTGCAGATACGCCTCTGGCAATCATTTCCTCGAAATCTGATAGTGTGAGTTTTATTGACGACAATGAATCTAAATTCAGACTCTCAAGCCCAACCATATCATACAACTTATTATAAAGTACATCTTGCATAATTGAAGGCCAAACACCAAATTCAAATGCTCTTAAATGCGCACCTACGGCAACTTCTATTAATGGAAGAGCGACTGCCCTTTCTAATATAAAGTGTTTGGCATACTTGTAATTGAAAATTGTAAATCTCTTATTTTTAAATAAATTGGCAACTGCAGTTAACACTGCAATGGATATTTTAGCAGATAAGTGTTGTGGTATACATAAGTTCAATAAATGTTTAATGAATTCTAGCATCGAATCTAACTTAGTATGCCCATGTTCTTGATTAGTCTGGAAAGTCATCCAAATAAGTTCTGCCTCGGTAGTCACAAATTCTCCAATGGAGCATATTGCTAGATCCACTAGCGTAGATACTTGCTTCTTCTTTGGCATTTTGATCTTCTTTAGTATAAATGTTTAATGAATTCTAACATCAAATGTAACTTAGTAAACCAGCTGAACTTTGTTTCAGAGCCCCCCCCCTTTTTTTTTTTTTAAACTGATCAAATCTTACAGTTTTTGTCCTGCAAAGTCCGAAAATGCAAGTTAAAAGTTTAGGAATCCAATAGTTTAAAAGATTCCTAGAGACGAGTACATAAAGATGTGTATATTTGGCTATTTGACGTACTTTGACAGGTTTGAACGATGCTATATTGACTGTTCAATCACGCCTGTGTTACTATCTTCATTTCTTTTAGGACGACTTTTATTTTGGAGGTTAGGTTCAAGCATCTAGAGATGAATAAGGATGAATATATACGTCTAGTAGAAATTCTTAAACCTGAACAATTTTATGATATTCTATGTATTTTTTGTTTTACATAATCCTGGAAAAAGTTAAGGAAAAGCTAAGGAAAAAGTTGTTTCAAATCACCCCGCGAATCACCCCTTTCAAGGACCTTTAATATTTTTGATACACCCTATATACCGGTTCCTATATTCTTATGTCCATGATTCTTCCACAAGTTCGATCGCGCCTGTGTTCGAATCTTCATTTCTTTTAAGGCGATTTTTATTTTGGAGGTTAGGTTCAAGCATCTAAAGATGAACATACAAATACGTCTAGTAATTTTATGATATTTTATGTATTTTTTATGTAATTTTTATATAAAGCTTGTAATTAATATAAGTTGGTCGTAGAGGTTAGGTTTGAGCATACGAATAAGTACGTAGAAATATAAATGCTTATATCTAAACAATGTTTATGATATTTTCTACAAAACAAATTCTTAAAAGACACTCGAGCATGTACGTCATCAGTTTGGTAGAAAATTTCATTTTTATTGTTACTTAAATATCTATACATGTTGCGTTGCCCTTAATTATTAAAATACTGTTAAAAATATCAATGTGTCGCGAAGAAGACGAGTAATTCAAAGGGAAGAAAAATATTGCTATCAAACAACAAAGGAATCTGACTCATATGCATACAGTTTGCTCGTGTTACTTCAGTGCGTACATTGAACTTGTAAAATTTATTTCTGCATTCCCAGTGTCTATCGGAAGAACAAAAGTACTATGGCTATATTAACGCTAAATGTACCAAGTGGATTCAAATGACCTCTTACAAAGTCCTTATCATAGATTTACAACTAATACTTCTGGGCAAAACCCTAGGCTTCGAACAAATCTGAAGTTTGTCGATTTGTTTGTCTCGTTTCCTTCTTTGGAAAATGTTCAAAATAAGAACCCAGACAAACTTCAGATTTATTCGAAGCCTAGGGTTTTGCCCATCTCTGCTCCTGGGAATGAGTTCTCTATACCTAAACCAAATAGAAGTACAGTCCTATATTAAGAGTCGGAGCATAAGGAGTCCCTTTTAACAGTAAACTTTCTTGAATAAGTTAAGAATTTCTTTCTAGAAATCAACGTGTATCTCTTACAAGGGGTCAAAGGACCTCTCATGACGAGAATAAGTATCTGGTACATTTAGTGTTAAATCATGATCCAAAGTCATCGAAAAGCAAACTCAACACGACTGTGTAGCACGTAACAAAAGCCTGAAAAATACCAGTATTAATTTCAGTTCTGCTCCCACTTCTCCAATCACGTTTCATTTGACTTTAAACAATCCCTGCAACCCAATGAAAATTACTAACGAAAATAATATTTGTCTCAAGTTGTCAGTGTTAAATGTTTCGGAAATATTTCATTTCTTCTGCCAACTTCCTCGTCTCGCTTCTTTATTTGATATTGCATTCGATAATTACTGATATAAATACGTATAAAATTGTATAAATACATTAGACATGGCATTTACATGTGAAGCTACTCGATATTGTCGGTAAGCGTTACAATAATCGTATGAGAATCGCTACCTAAACGAACTTTCCAATAAATAAGTCAATCGTAAGTTGCACAAGGCACGCAATCTTGAATGCGTTGCTAGGAAGTTAAGAGATCATCGAGTACATCTTAAGAGAAAGAAAAAAAGGCTTTATCTCAACATAGAGAATCCTTTCCTTGTGAAACGGAAGGGGCTGCAATGGATATACCGTGTGTTGATCCCCGAAGAGTGCGACGAGACTTTCTTATTCTCTTTATCCCACGCGTGTCTGGGTGATTCTATGCCGAAAGGGCTATAAAGTTTGGTAGGTGTTCGTCCTAGGAGCTGGCGGGAACGTGTTTGAGGTGTCTGCATTGTGCACATGTTGTTCGGTGAGTGCTGCTCCTCCAGTCTCTGGCGCCTGCGCGTAGAGTTTCTAAATTTCTAAAAGAGATAAAAGTGTTAACAGAAAGTTGCAAGCGATGTATGATTTCTTCTTGGAGAAGTCATTACGCCTGACCTGCGAGATGGTCCCAAATGTTGTGCGTACCGATGATATAGTCTTGGATAGTTTCTCAGCTCCGCTTCGCAGAGCACGTCTAGAATCTGCTGACATGTTCACAAGAGATATATTGTTCCAGCTTCTGTCGCTGTGCTTGTCCTTGCATGGTTTCTCTTTGAACGTGTCGCTGGACTTCTCCTTCTCGAAACGGTCTTGGAGGCGTCGTCTCAAATTTTTCGAATCTTTTGTTATCTCTGGTGAATTTTTGACACTTAAAACGTCACGGTGGAACGTGAACGAGACGCTACGCGAATCTGGTCGCATGTTTATGGATGATTTTTCGTCTTTTTTTATTATTTAGTGGGGATGTTAGTTAGTTAGTATCAATTTTGAGTTTTGATTCCTTTGGCACTGATTAAAGTAAGATTCGTGTGGATAACGAGAAATCCAGAGAAATTTTCATCCCTCGAAATCGGAGCGTCGTTGCTAACGGCCAGCGTCCAGAAAACAAGAATGGCTGCTCCGATCAATTTAGTATAGTTTGGTACAGTTTTTTTGTGTACAGAGTGTCCCAAAAATGGTGGAGGTCAATGTAAGGGGTGATTCGGGAGGTGATTTGAAACAACTTTTTCCTTAGCGAAAATGTTGTACGAGGCTTTGTTAAGGAGATATTAACGGAAAACACTGACCAATCGAACGCAAAGCGGCCACGCTCCCCGACCAATAAGAGCGCTCCACCAGCATACTCGCGCTCTAATTGGTCAGTGTTTTCTGTTAATATCTCCTCAACGAAGCTTCGGACAACATTTTCGCTAAGGAAAAAGTTGTTTCAAATCACCTCCCGAATCACCCCTTACATTGACCTCCACCATTTTTGGGACACCCTGTATTTATTGTATTAATAGATTGTATCTATATTTATACATTTATATTTGTATTTCTCTATACTATATATTATTTAAGTTTCTACTAATATATATTGTATAAATATTAATGCTCTTAAATTTGTATTCTCGATGATCGTTAAATATTCTAGAAAATTAATATATTATATTTGTATTTGTATTATTAATATAAATATATATACTGAGCACTGAATAAACACAGGTATAGGAATACAAGTAGGGCCGGCGTTAGGGAGGGGCGCGCCCCCGCCCATACCAATATTTTCCCATTGTCTCTTCTATACCATGTAAACAAAATAATTTCTTTCCTTTGAACGTATTTTTATCATGTTTCAAAAGCGAAACTGCAAAATCTGTAACTATCGCCTCCAGCGGAACTTTATAACAAAAATTGTTATTGCGAGTTTAGATAGTAGAATTCTTACTTACATTTTATTATAAAAAATCGTTACAAAAGTTGGGAATTAACAGGGAGTCAATCTCTGTTGCTCTCCGGATTACTCATCAGGTACAAAAAATAAATATTATATAATAAGTTTCAAAATAACATTTTCATCTGTATTCTTGACGTAGGTCATTTAAGGTCTCTTATATCTGTCATACAAGTCGCTTCTGTCTAACAATTTGTTAAGTTCATCCTCTGTAAAAACTGCATCAGGGATTATTGCATTATTCAAATTAAATATGTTTCTTTTATATTAAAATGTCACAAAAAGCTGTTTCATGATTTACCTTGATTTTCAGCTGCGACTACTTGGCACTCTTTCGACTCCAAAAGCTCCTTCAATCTTATCAATGATTCCTTTTCGTATTTGGGGGTTGTATCGATCTTAGAAATTACTGCTTTTTCTAGAAAACGTTTCTTTTCTCCGCGATTGATAATTGATTCATCGATGGTCCCTTTAACGCATAACTTATATATAACCACGGGTCGATTTTGTCCTATTCTGTGACAACGGGCCATGGCTTGTATATCCATTTGCGGATTCTATAAACGGATCCAGTAATTTTTAACTAGTAATTATTACAAAATATACATGTGAAAAGTAACATACCCAGTCACAATCATACATAATAACAGTGTCCGCCGAAGCAAGGTTCAATCCGACACCACCTGCTCTCGTAGATATAAGGAACAAGAATAAATCAGGGTTCTTAGAGAAATTCTTAATATTCTCCTTTCTCACTTCGAGTGGAGTGGTACCATCCAATCTGACGTAATTATAATCACGCATCGAAAGGTAGTCCTCTATCAAGTCCAATAACGTTGTCATAGTGGAGAACAACAAAACTTTATGGCCCTGCTCTTTAAGCTTCGCGAGCATCGCGTCTAATACTGAAAGCTTCCCAGACGACTTGATCAAATCGTTGTCTATTTTTGGTAAACCACTTGCATCCAATGGACAATGGACCAGATACGGGTGATTCACAATTTTTCTGTACAATGCCACTGAAACAAAAGAACGTGGATGTAGCTATGAAATATTGTAATAATTAAGGGGTCATTTTACTTTATTCGCCAAGGAAAACGTGCTTCTTCGCTAATTTGTTTCGAAGTGATATTACAAAATGATTTATTTTAAGCTTTTTGAGGTATATTTATGCTTTTGTAATTATATTAGAATCTTCTCAAGAAGAAATATGAATATTATATTGAACTATCTTTAATTAAACAATAATCTATTTTAAAAACACTGCGTAGTAGGTAGTAAATATTGTAACGTGAACTTTACTTTCAATCTTTCTTATATTCTTGCATATTGTTTGCATATTGTAGGTTATTGTACATTCAAATTTCTTATAAATGCATAAAGATCCACAGGCTAGTGATAATTAATTTATACCATGATTATGAAATACAATACAATTGAAATTCTAATGTTCACGTAACTTCACTTAATTTGTATTTCGCTCTGCAATCTTATCTGTTAAATTGAACCGTGTTTAACTATACTTCCTTGGCATAGAGCATGGGTGGTAAGATAACAAGCTTTCCAATTATTGAATTACCATTCAGCAGGTAAAACTTGATATTCAATCTACCAATAAAAGATGATCGATTAGGTATGCAAGTGACCTATCGAGCAACCACAGGAACCTGTACTGCAGCCATAATTACAAACTAATCATAGCCATGGGTCTTAATTAATTTAATTTACGATAAACTAATGCTCATCTTAGAACCCGAACAGCCCAACCATCCTAAACTTCTTCCACAGGACACAAGGTTACAAGATTCCAAAGACGAACATAACGGAACAGTTTTATCCTCTATTTAATAAGCAAATGTAACTGAATTCATAGAAAAAAGGTAATTTAGTTAATTTAATGCTTAGAAGAGTTGCAATAATTATAAAATTCAAAGATTACAAGATTCCAAAGATGAACATAATGGAACAGTTTTATTCGCTATTTAATAATCAAGTGTCCAGGAACTTATGGGACAATCTAGTATATGATATTAGATGGTCTTGAAATATGAAACACATAAAATCAATTTCTTAATCTGCATAAGTTTTTATCTGGTATATAGTAGGATATTTCCAAACAAACAAGAAATGACAAAATGGCAATCCTTTTGAAGAATCAATTTTCAAGTATCAATTTCCAGCAAAAATATTGTTGATTATTTGTTAATAACATAGAAACTAACGAATAGATCACAAATATCCTAGTATATACTAGATAAAATCTTATGCACATTAAGAAATTGATTTTATGTGTTTCAGATTTCAGTATCGTCCAATATCACACACGCAGTGTTTTTAAAATAAATTATTGTTTAATTAAAGATAGTTCAACGTAATATTTATATTTCTTCTTGAAACAATTCTAATATAATTATAAAAGCATAATAAATATAGCATAATAATATTTGTAGTACCATGTCGAAGAAAATTACCAAGCAGTTTTTCTTAAGTCGAATAAATTCAAATGACCCCATAATACTTTCTATAAGAAAAAGAGTAACTTACTTCTATTACCAGATTTAATATTAAGTAAATAATCTCTATTGCGATCCGTGACGTCAGTGTATTGCTTCCAAGCAGTCAAATGTGACTTATCAATGGGCTTTCTTTGGTTCCAAAGTTCATTGTCAGTACTTTCATCACTCTCCTGAGTGAAATCAGAATATCCTAAGCTAACTGCACTCTTCATGGTACATCTCCTTTTAGGTCGTTCACCATCCTCCGTGTATATAATTGGCGATTTCTCTATTAAACTCAATTTTTCTATATCACGATTCAATACCGCCTTATATAAATCGTGTTGCAGTTCTGTGAGCGGAGCATATACGATTAATTCCTTCTTCGGTGGAACATCTAAACAAACGTCTGACTTCTCGCGCCTCAACATAAAGGGTTGTAATATCTCACGCAACGTCGACAGCACGTGCTTCTCTTCTTCTTGCTTCAAAAACTTTTTCGTTCCTTCGTCGTACTCGAGCTCTTTCACGTCGAACCAGGATTTGAATACAGCTAAATCGTCGAATATTTCAGGCAATAGAAAATTCAACAACGACCACAGTTCCGCTAGATTGTTCTGCAGCGGCGTGCCGGTCAACAAAAGTCGATTCATCGATTTACATTGCTTCAAAACCCTGTTTCACGATAATATATTATTAAGAAAAATTGTAAATATAGGTCTAAAATATTTCACACTTTTCATTTTAATCAAGTTTTAACTTTACTTTAATTTTAGACAAGTACGTACGTGACAAGTAGACATTCGTGGTTCTTTATTCTGTGACCTTCGTCGATTATTATATACCTCCACTGTAAAGATCTCAAGAAATATTTTTCAAGTAGTGGCACTTCGAAACTGGTGATCACAATTGGCATTGTACTATAAGTTTCTGTGATTTTGTACTTTTGTTTAATTTTCCTGATCGTAGAGTATCTTTCGTTTACTGTGCCATGGAGTAGAAAGACAGGTAACTTTGGAGCAAACCTTTCGAATTCAATCATCCAATTTGGTATAGTTGAAAGAGGTGCGATTATTAAGTAAGGTCCATCTTGCTGTTTTTCGAGGAGGTGACATATCAAAGCTATCACTTGTACTGTTTTTCCCAGGCCCATCTCGTCAGCTAAAATACCATTTATACCATTCAAATACAGCACCTGCATCCATTGCAATCCTTGTCTTTGATACTCTCTTAAATCCCCATTGAAAAACTTTGGCGTCCCTGTAGCAGTATCGTAAGCTTCATCATTCTGTGAATCTATAAGTAATTCAGACTCGATGCTTTCATCGTTAGAATTAAATCTACTTCTCTTCGAGACTATTTTCCTTTGCACCTAGAATATGTTAACCATTAGAAAGAGAAACATTGTATAGGTTATATGAAAATTACGATGTGAGTATTCTTACATTTACTGATATACGATTCTGTTTATTATAGTTTCTCTTTTTATCTTTTGCCTCAGGTGAAACACCATCGGCAGCAGCAGCCTGTTTGTTATTAACATTTCTATCATTTTCTTTGGAAGTATCATTAATTTTATTAATGATATACGAGGAGTAAAATTTACTTCTGTTCAATAAATGCATTAATCGTTTATACTGTTGTTCTTGTAATTCTCTATGATACTCTTCATCTTTTAATTGTTTACTTTCCGAATCGATTTGTCTTTTCCTTTTCTTCGGTTCCTGGACATTTTCTTTCAATGGTTCGTTACTGATTATTACATCATCAGCGAGGCTTTTTGGATTACCTTTCCCTAGCCAAAGGAAATAAAAAAATTCAGAAATATTCATAGGATTACTCATTTAATGTGGATCGTACTAGGAATATAATTAACGTATTATAGTTAACATAGTACACAAATTGTTGTGTTAATGTTCTTCCCAATTAAATTATTAAAAAGGGAGAATAGGAGGGCTAGAGGAGGATGTCAACATTGATAAACCAAGAAAAATAAAGTAGAATATTTGAAGAATGAATTATTGGTCGATGTTCAAACAATGAAAATATTTTCATATTGATCTCCGTTATCGATTCAAGCCAAAGGTTAATTCTCCTGTTTTCATAGAATGATGTAAATAACTCTGGTCTACTTAGTACTAAATCAAATATTTTTTAATTAAATAAGATATTCACCTGTGATTAAACTGGTGTCATTAGACAAATTCGTCGTGACATCTATATTTTCCTTATCCATTTCTCACAAATAACTTAAATATAAAGAAAAGAAATAAAATTAGTAACACGAAGGTACGGTATAAAAGACTAACCTTCACTGACAAGGGCAAAGCCGGTAACCACGTGTACTCCCTTCCACTTTTCTCCACGTGGCTCTTGAGAAGGTTGTGCGCAGGCGCGGTAGACGAATGCGCATGCGCAGTGCCTGAAACGCCAGTGAAGTATCTATACGTTCGCGAAAATGGGATCCTTAGACGCCCCACCTGTAAAATAAAATTATGAAATTAAGAAAGAGAAGATGGACGCTGTGTGCAGAACATGCTATTGAAAACTAATTATTATTATATACTTATTAACTAATATACTAATTAATACACTACGAGATTAAAGTAATTATCTTCCGGTAGACATTTTCATTTTGAAGAATCTGCTTGATATTTTCCATAATGTTTATAATATTTTTTATTTCGGATAATTCTTTTGAATTACCAAAGGCATCTCTCCAGATGGCAGCACAGTAAAAATCTAAAATGGAGCCAACGAAGAATGTTGTTTGTACTGTTACAACACTATCCTAACATCATTTTAATAATTATTTGTTATTTATTACTCCATGGAAATTAAAAATTAAATGGTTATAATTGGACCTTATTGCACCTGTTGCACCATTCAACTGGCTCACTGAAGAGGATACAAGGATGATCTTCATTAACCTGTAACATTAAAAAAGTATTAATTTTCCACCAAAATCAGTAAAGAACAATCTACTTACAACTATTTTATATAGACAATGGCTCTGTAGATGCATAACCAAGGTGTACAATTTATGTTTATATACACCTGGACACCTCAAAACAAACACATAACCTCAAAATGAGTTACAATAAGAAGGTATCATACTTCTATAACCCAGACGTTGGGAATTTTCACTACGGCCCAGGCCATCCGATGAAGCCTCACAGGCTCGCTGTCATCCACAGTCTGGTACTCAACTACGGTCTGCACAAGAAGATGCAGATCTACCGTCCGTACCGTGCCAGTACCCACGACATGTGTCGGTTCCATTCGGATGAGTACGTGGAGTTCTTGCAAAGAGTAACCCCACAGAACCTGCAAGGCTATACCAAGTACCTAACTCACTTTAACGTAGGGGACGATTGTCCCGTCTTCGAAGGGCTCTTTGATTTCTGCTCCATGTACACCGGAGCCTCGCTAGAAGGAGCCACGAAGCTGAATAACAATTGCTGTGACATCGCTATCAATTGGAGCGGAGGGCTGCATCACGCGAAGAAGTTCGAAGCATCGGGTTTCTGTTACATCAACGATATCGTCATAGCTATTTTGGAGCTGTTGAAATACCACGCCAGAGTTCTTTACATAGACATAGACGTTCACCATGGAGATGGAGTTCAGGAAGCATTCTACTTAACGGACAGAGTGATGACAGTATCTTTTCACAAGTACGGAAACTTCTTCTTCCCTGGAACAGGAGATATGTACGAGATAGGAGCGGAGAGTGGGAGATACTACTCTGTTAATGTACCGTTGAAAGAGGGTATCGACGATGGCTCTTACATTCAAGTGTTTAAACCTGTTATATCGCATGTGATGGAATTTTTTCAACCAACAGCGATAGTCTTACAATGTGGAGCCGATTCGCTGGCCAATGATCGTCTTGGGTGCTTCAGTTTGAGTACAAAGGGACATGGAGAGTGTGTCAAGTTTGTGAGAGACCTAAATGTACCTCTGCTCACCGTAGGAGGTGGTGGATACACCCTGCGCAATGTTGCCCGTTGCTGGACCTATGAGACTTCTCTGCTTGTCGATGAACAAATCAGTAACGAACTGCCTTACACAGAGTACCTGGAATACTTTGCACCAGACTTTACGTTACACCCTGACGTTGTGACTAGACAGGACAATGCGAATAGTAAACAGTATCTGGAAGCTATCACGCGACACGTATACGATAATTTAAAGATGATACAGCATTCTCCAAGCGTTCAAATGCAGGACGTTCCGTGCGACGCGTTGCCACCCGAGGAAGAGAGGCAACCAGAGCCCGATCCTGACTCCAGACAAAACGTTCAAGACACGGATAAGATAGTCGAACCTGCCAACGAGTATTATTCGGGAGAGAAAGATCAGGATAAGATGGACGTAAGCGAGTCGTGATGAAAGAATGCGGTGACTTAAAATAGGACGTGAACGAGCTATCGAAACACTCAGAATTCATTTTTACTGCGAATTAAATCATTGTAAATATTATAACTGTAAATACTTTTAAGGCTATTAAAACTGTTTCTTACTTGACGATTACAAATTCTATGTACTCACCAAGATGGATATGGTGCCATGCCAAATCAATGTTTTGAAAATTTGTTATATTATTCTATTCTGTAAGAAACTTTTTTTGTGAATTTTCTCAAACTTTTGTTTTCAAGTAGGTTTCAAGATATCGATTTTTTTCAATATTTCATTATTTTAGGTTCTTTCCTACATTTTCAAAGAGATTTATTAAAAATTTTCACTTGCGTTTTTCATATAGAAACATAGAAAATTTGTCTCTAAAGTGAGAATCCAAATTATAAAAAATGGAAATATGACTTTATTAAAGAATACGCAAGACTTAGCCACTTCAGAGCTTGTAGCTTCCTTAATAATGAACATTGCAGATTGAAACTTTTTCTCTAAACTGAAAGTCCAATGTTTTAAAAATGAAAGTATGACTTTCTTCTATGAACTCGCAGAAGGTAATTTTGATAAAACTCTAAAAGCATTCATAAAAATTATTTTTCACTTCCTTGATCAAAATGTAGCATATTTCGTCAAATAATGTACAGAAGCAACTTCTACTATGTACAAGAAAAAAATTCCTGAAGAAAAGAAGAAAAATGATTCGAAGAAAAAGTAATCCTTCGAAGAAATATTTTGAAAACATTGGAAACAAAAATTTGAAAAAATTCACAAAAAGTTGTTTAAAGAGTAGAATAATATAAAACAATTTCAGACAAATCAAATAATTGAAGATTGAAAACATTGATTTGCCATGAAACGCACCATATATAAACAAGACTCCTATTTCCTATGAGATATTCTCCAGAAGCATTTTCTAGAGGATTTTAAATAGTATTAGGCAAGTTTATTGTTTTATGTCAGACAGCGTATTGTCTACAATGGTACAACAATGACGATGAGGATGATATCAATAGTAGTAGTAATAATTCTAATAATAAATCGTAGCAATAATAAGAGCAATAACGATAACGTTTTCATCTCTGTTTCGGGGCTATCTCGCTATATCACAGAGAACTTAATCCTTACTCGTACGTTTCTCCGCGATCACGTAAACGCACAACTGAAACGACGTTCTCCAATATAAATCTATCTGCTGCTCATCTCCCGTAGTGTACTAAACGTGACTAATACAATAAATTAGGTATCTTTAAATTAAGGCGCTTCGTTCTGTACACGATTCTCGTAAAACTTTACAAAAGTTCTTTCTCGAAAAATAATACAAGTAGAAAAATACTCACGGTACGAGGAACGGAAATATTCGATACTTGTTTCGTTTACAAACATACAAGACCACGATGTAAAAAATCTCTCTTGCACGGTAATAATACGTTGGCTATGCCAAGGAGGCACTGAAGCATACATATCCACACACGAAGGACTCCATAAATTCTATCCCTTCCCTCCCCCTCTTCATCCTTCCTTTAACCCTTTGACTGCGGGACAATTTTCCCTGGAAACTTCCGAGAGGCGTAGAGGTGTAAATTTTAAAAAAATATCAGCTTATAGGGAATGTTAAGACGGAACTTTTTTGTATTTACAGTTTGTTCGTACTACGTTTAGTTTCAGAGATAAAAATTCAAAACTTAGAGACCTTTTTCCTGGGATCTCGTAGTGATCTGATATTGTTGCTGTTGTCTTAAAGGAAAAAGAAACAACAGTTGAACAATCGAATTTTAAAAAAATATCACCTTATAGGGGATGTTAGGACGAAACTTTTTTGTATTTACAGTTTGTTCGTAGGACGTTTAGTTTCAGAGATAAAAATTGCAAACTTAGAAGATCTTTTTCTTGAAATTCAACTTTTGAAACGAACTTCTAACTTTTCAATTTTTATTTTCGAAACTAAACATCTTATGAAAAAACTGTAAATATAAAAAAGTTTCGTCTCCTCATCCCCTACAAGCTGATATTTTTTAAAAATTGATTCAACGAATATAAACATTTCTCTGAGCTGATTTCTCGAGAGTGTATATATAAGCCATTCGCAGTCAAAGGGTTAATAATATATTCACGTGTATATAAACATTCAGTCTCATAGCGAAAAGCAATTCCATTTGGTGTTTAGTCTTCCATCGAAATTCTGGGTACTTGGAGAACACTTGCGACCATGTGCAAGAAGCGTTTCAGGCGCAGTCAGTGCCGATCCTTGGTGAATCCACAATGAAGTCCTTGCGAAATTTTTGGTTGACTAGATGATCTTGTTCTTGTTCGCTCACGCGAACGGTTTCAAGGGGCGTTGAGTTGGAGATGACGCGAGGGGCACGTGGAACCAAAATTACGTTTCGAAGTGTTTGTAAATACTGGTCACGTACGTCATAACTTGTTGCCAGTCGGGTCGCTCCAATTGACACATTTCGCCTATGTTCTGTGAACAAGACCAGTTCTTTATTTAACGTTCAAGGGAAGGTTTGATTAGTGAAGGGTCGCTCATGTTGTAAATCAAGTATCACTGATTTTCTAGATAAAAATTTGGAGATATTCTTAGATTCTTAGATAGTCTTCGATGGTGAATTGAACATGATTTTCAAAAATTCGTAGAACTTTTAATAACGAACATTGCAGATTGAAACTTTTTTTCGTTATAGATCTCATGGAACTCTACAAGAAACATATAGAAAGTTTCTCTCTAAAGTAAAAATCCAAATTTTTAAAAATGGGAGTATGACTGTTAAAGAATACGCAAGGATTAACCACTTCTCAGCTTGTAGCTTCCTTAATAATGAACATTTCAGATTGAAACTTTTTTTTCTTGTAGATCTCATGGAACCCTACAGAAAACTTATACAAAGTATTTCTCTAAAGTGAAAGCACAATTTTTTTAAAAATAGGAGAATTGATTTTTTCAAGAATTCAGTAGAGGGTTAGGTAACATAATTTTCTAAAATTCATAACACTTTTAATAATGAACAACTTGGTTTGAAACTTTTTTTCTTTATAAATCTCATGGAACTCTACAAGAAACATATAGCAACTTTTTCTCTAAGCTGAAAGCCCAATGTTTTAAAAATAAAAGTATGACTTTTTTCTTTGAACTCGTAGAAGGTAATTTTAATAAAACTCTAAAAGGATTCATACAAATTATTTTCCACTTCCTTGATCAAAACGAACGACATTTCGTCAAATAATGTACAGAAGCAACTTCTACTATGTACAAGAAAAAAATTTCTGAAGGAAAGAAGAAAAATGATTCGAAGAAAAAGTATTCCTTCGAAGAAATATTTCAAACAAACTTATAATACATACAAATATATTATTGATTTACACATGAGCGACGTACCTTCACCATCCCTTAACTATCCCTCTGAGAACAGCAGAGTTAAACTTACCAACGTGGTAGGTATTCCAACGCTCTCTGCAGCGGAGAAAGCTATGGAGAAGTTTCTTCGTTTCTCCACGGGCGTTAACGTATCATATGGTACCTTATGAGGAAGGTAGGAATGAAGGATAGCGCACAGTGCCAAACCGTCGTTCCACGAGCTACTGAAATTCGTTATGTCGATATTCCTGTAGCCCAACGTTTTGTTCTGACACCACTTGAGCAAAGCGTTACGTTTCGATCCTCCGTTCTTAATCAGTCCGCAAAGAGGATCTTTGCGTTCCGACAAATCCGTCACGCTGTTACGACGGACAAAGTCGATCGCCTTGGCGTTCAGAGCGGCAGAGTCCAGAAGCTCACCTGGGCTTAGCATCACAGGTGTTGACTTTGTCTCTGCGTTAATCAGTGGAAGAACGTGACTAGTAAGTGTGATGCTGTAGAGTCGCCAATTGGAGAGTTTGTCAAGCGTACAGCGTGCGTGCAGAAAAATTCGCAGTGGCGATTTTAAAACGGTGGACAAGCGGTGTTTGAGTTAGCCCAATGATAAACTCGTTTTGTATTTGTACAAGAAGAGTATTTGACGACGATCGCAGATGTAATTCAGGCGCTTAAAGCTTTCTAGTTAAAGTAAGAGTTACCTGACAACGGCTTTCTCGTTATCGCGGCTTGAGTTTTATTGTTATTCGTCGAATTCGCCGTGCAGATTAAGTTATTGATCTGCTGCTGGTCCCTGAGAGGTGCCTTCATTGTCATTATGTCGTTAGTTCCTATGGAGTTCAGGGAGGATGTCGAACTGCTGCGACTTCCAGGTCCTGCGAGCAAAAGGATATGATAAGTCAGGTGCACCGGAACCTTGTTCATAAGTAGGTTGGGAGATTTTCTGCATTCTTGATATAAAGGAATGCAATAGATATTATATATAAGGTAATAGGTGTTAGATGTAACTAGAAGGTAGGTGTACTTATGCGGAACAAAATAACATACATGCAATTCATACAGTCTGCGTAATCAGTACTCGTACCATTTATTTTAAATTTGTTGCTGTACGAATACTTCTTATATTGACTGTATATGCATGTGCACTTATGCAAAACAAAGTAATGATGTTATTATATTAATTGTAGCATACATTCAACATGTATGATGTATGTACATTAACAAAATAACATATATGCAATTCATACAGTCTGCGTAATCAGTATTCGTACCATTTATTTTAAATTAGTTGCTGTACGAATACTTCTTATATTGACAGTATATACATGTGCATTTATGCAAAACAAAGTCACGATGTTATTATATTAATTGTAGCATACATTCAACATGTATGATGTATGCACATTAGGCTAATCTTTATTTTAATGATTTTTGAAATCTATGTTACGCATCCCCTTAAATACCCTGCAATTACATGCAACAAAATTCCTGAAAAATTTGAGCTCCCTATTTTAACATTAACACTCCAAAACCTTCCCTAAACCTTAGAAAGTTTTAAATGAAAAATATATGGAACTTTTTTAATCGGTTACTTCTTTTTCATTAACTCCATAAGAATTAATGAAACAATTTGAAATTTGCCTGAGTTGTTACTTATAATAATATGGAAGAATGCATAGAAATTTCCAGATATTTATTTCAATTATTTCCTTATTCAATTATTGCAATCCATAATTGCAAATATGAAGCTATTTGAGATTAAACTTCATGAAACTTTTTCAGTTGGTTACTACCTATTGTAGAACTCAGGTGAAAATCGATGACAGGATTTGAAACTAGGTAGAGTTGTTATTTATATTAATAAGAAGAAACCCTAAAAATTTCAAATTTTTATCTCAATTATTTCCTTATACGTCAGCCTTATAAATATGAAACGTTGTGGTAATAGTAAAGCATCATGTAATTTTTGTTAATAGGACTTGAAAATTTCGAATTTTTATTTCAATTATTTCCTTTTATATCAGTCCAGTAAATATGAAGTTATTTTCTTTATTTAAAATATTTTTGTAATACTATCTTCAATGTTTTAAGTATAAATTGTTGTTGAAAGAAGAATTTTGATAGACTAAGTTTTTGAATGATCTAAAAATGAATATTTACTTATGGAACATTTACAAAAAATAATATTAGGTTCTAAAAGTTTCTTCCGCTTCATTAATAAGTAATACATACACAATATTTTATGTCTAATATTGTATTATTGAATTGAATACGATTCATTTTGCTACATTATTGTTTGTAACATTAACATCTCAGAAATTAGGTTGTCTATTTATATAAATACTGCTATACAAAATAACTGAGTGCAAGTTACAGAAGGAATTTTTGTGGCAATCTATATATTAGGAAATAATTGATATAAAAATTTGAAATTTTCAGGGCTTCTTCTTATTAATATAAATAACAACTCTGCCAAATTTCAAATCATTCCATCAATTTTTACCGGAGTTATAAAATAGGTAGTAACTAATTGAAAAAGTTTCATGAAGCGTAACCTCAAATAGCTTCATATTTACAAGGCTGATGAATAGAGAAATAATTTAGATAAAAATTTGAAATTTTCAGGGCTTCTTCCTATCATTACAAGTAGTAACTCTCCAAATATCAAATCATTCCATCAATTTTGATTAGAGTTATAAAAGAAAAAGTAACCAATTGAAAATGATCCATGTTTTTTCCATCTAAATTTCAAATTTTGCAGGAATATTTTCTTATGTATTTTCAAGGTATTTAAGGAGTGCGTAATACATACACTCCGGAAATCATTGAAATAAAGGCCACTTTAATGTACATTTATATACACATACATTTGTGCATTTGTGCACAATGAAATAACGACGTTACTATATTAATTGTAAAATATATTCAACATGTATGATGGACATTCATGTAACCATGTGCATGTGCACTTACGCAAGGCAAGATAAGGACATTATTATATTATAGAATATATCCCAATTATTGTACATCATAAATGCACAAAATCTGCAAGAAATTTCTATTCGCAAGAACCATGTATGCACAAAATTTGCAAGAAATTTCTATTCTAAGTTTCCTTGCGAATAGTCTCACAGAAATAGTTGACGCAAGCAATAATAACAACAAATCTATACCAACCCGCTTTAGCTTGCTTAGTGGCATTCTCTATGCTCTCAATCAAGCATTTAACGGAGAGCCTCGAGTCCTGACGCGAGATATTAGCCTTGCGCCTTGCTGCAATCTCTTGTTGCACGCTGGTCAGTACGCACTGCTGAGTATCAGTGGGAGTACTCGCTGGCCTCTGCGGCGGTTGCTGTATCACCTTCTGATTAGCTGAAAAAAGATCACGCGTTACTCCAGCAGTCTACGTCTCCGCCTCCGGACAGAAATGAAAGCAATAAGCGCTATGTTTACACGTAAAAGAAAGCACAAGTATAACGATGAAAACAAAAGAGAAACGTCTAAGAAAAGAAACGCGTTATCGCACGTTTCTTTCTCGAGAGTCACCCGTTATCTATTTACACATACTTTGTACGAGTGTACGACAGCGGGACAAAACATAAAAGAAACTCCAGGATTAGAGACAACACTAGAGAACGTGGTGATAATGATCGCATCGAAACAACGTGAGAGGTGAGAGTAAGGCAAGTAAACCTAGAAGAATGGTTTTAAAGGTGTACGATTGCGTTCTCGGCTAGAGTAAGAAACCATGGACAGACAAATTGCAGGGGCGGGGAGGGTTCGAACTCTGCATACAAGCAATCACGTGTCCACACTACTTGGGGCGACTTACGGTCGCGTATTGTACCTATTTGTCGGCCTGGTCTCAGTTCCACGTCCTCTACGATCGTTTCAAATTTCTCTCTCAAAGACGACGTCCTCCCTATCACCGGTCTATCCTTGGACGCGGTGTCACCGTTGCTCTGATCGACCTTAGAGTCTGTATTCAGTGGGGAAAGTACGCTCTCCCGTGGCCTACTCTGATCGTCTTCGGATTGAGACAGATTCATGTTTAAAAATTTCATGCGCTTCAGTCGGTTCGCTTCGCAGAGGGTCAACGGCTTCCTCGACTCTTCGTTGTCGAATTTGAAGACTATATTGGAGGCTCTCTGAACCAAGGACGAAGTTAACGAGTCAGAATCGGGCAAATTTTCCAGAGAAGACAGGATTGGATAAGTGTTATATTTCTCCTGCGTAACTATGTTCTTTTCATTTATTTCCTTCCTGCTTGTTTTGTTTAAGTTTGAGTGGATATCTTCTGGCTTTTTGTATAGATAGGACTCTGTTGGAAGACTATGTGGTCTTGAATATGCAGCATCACTGCTGTTTCTGTATAGTATGCCAGTCGGAGGGACATTATCACAGTCATCGATGGATGCTTCGATGCTTTTTGGTGTATTAAAATCAATGTTATCAAAAGAGCTGGAGAAACTCTTTGCTGAGGTTTGTTTGTGAGCGATACTGTCTACAAGGGAGTCAACTACCTCGCTGCCAGACCTGGACTCGTTCTTCTTCAAGAAAATCCTCCGTTTTTTGTTAAGAAAGTAATCCCCATCGTCCTCTAATTTTAAAATTGTATTTGATAAGTTCTCCTTATCAATTTTTGGTTCGTTCTGAGGTTCCTGTGGGGTGCTTGTTCGAGTGCATTCCTGCAGCACTTTCCTCATTCCAGGATCCACCTCGAACTTTAAATCATCCATGGACTTCTCCACACCTGGGAATAAATAATTCTTGGGAACGTAAAATCGACTATTAGAGATGTTTATGCCATAGGAATCCTCTCCAATATTCTGAATACCTTTAATATCCTTTAACAAGAACTTCGCAGGAATATTCTCACCGGAAGTGTCAGTTTTCGGGGTGCACACCTCCTGGACAGTTTCTGCGAACTCGAGTAATTTATTTGAATGTAATATATCAGATCCTTCTTTGCTCAAGGATGATTTATCATCAGATTCAATAGATAGACGTCTTTTTGCTGAAGACGAACCTTTTGAAGCAACATTGGTTGACTCCGACAGGTCAACAGGATCATCAATTTTCTTGTGTAAGCGTAAAGTGGGACAGAACTCGATTTCCTCACCAGAAATCAGATTGTCATCCAACTTAATGGGCTCCTTTGACAACAGCTCGTTGCCAGCATCCTCTGACTCTGCGTCTCTCAGAGAAAAACTTAAATTTAACTCCTCTATGACTTCTACGTTCCTCTCTGTCTCAGGTGGATCCAGTTCGCTCATTGTTTTGGATACACGTGGGCTCTTCTTGGTGTCAGAACGCTTCTTTACAATAGTACGCCCGCGTTTCAATATATTGCTTGCAGACTTGTGACTATTTCCAATCATACTACCGAATGTCTTACATTGGGGAACTGGTGCGCTGCCTGACATATGAATGAAATTGAAAAAAATAATAAAACATGTATTGCATTAATAACGCTCTCGAGTCCTTTGTAATTTTAGAAAGACAATCTAATGTAAAGTGGATATTTGTAAAGTGGAATCGTTTCCCTGATAGATTGTCTTTACGAATACAAATTGTTGGTCAATTATGGATATCACGTATTGTATAACGATTTGTCCTTTATAATTTAAATTAGAATGTTTAATGTGAACTAGAGTCGCATAATAATTCGTCTTTGCAAATATAAATGTACTAATAATTGTGTTAACGCTTAGAGTTGTTTTTAATTTATGGAGGCATTCTAGTCTAGAACTTTTGAAATATTGATTTGCAGTTCATTTGGACACTGCATTTTAAATTTCTGTGAAGTTTTTACTATAATTTGTTTGTTGGGAATGTGTAGAATGTGCAAAAGTGAGATTTTCAATAAGTAAGTAAGCGAGGATTGGGTTTTAGCGTAATCATAAGTATACATATTTGGTATAAAAAACTTTAAACTTTAAACTAGTAACCATATCTTTGAAATGGTTGCCATGATATCTCGAGTTCTAGTTGAATGAATTATTTCAGCATGTGTGCTTTCATTTGAATCACTGTTTTTAAAATTTAGTTATCCTAACCTCTCTTAAGCTGACCGGACCAAATCAGCAAAATTATATCCTAATGGAATTATTACTTAGTGGAATATTTAGTACTTATTTTGTAATAATTTGTACCACAAACAATAATTTTACACCTCGTGCCATTTAAAAAAAAATTGTAGTTTAATGTTAAGCTAGACCACACATCAAAATTAATAAAAATGAAAAAATCAAAGCGGATACATTTAGTGCAGAATTTGTACCCCAACAGAAATTTTGTACCTGCTACCATTATCAAAGCAATCATAGCACTGCTAGTTTAATATTTTTATTAAGTTAGTGGCTGAAAATGTTATAAATTAATATAAGTGAAAAAATCAAAGCGAACACATTTTGTATTAATTTCTGTAGTTTAACGTAACAGGTACAACATTTCTGTTGATGGTACAAATTAGTACAAATTCAGTGCTAAATGTATCTGCATTGATTTTTTCATTATTATTCATTTTAACATGTAGTTCTGCTAGCTTAATATTCAAATTATTGTTTGCTGTACAAATTAGTACAAAGTAAGTACTAAATATTCCGCAAAGTACGATATGATTTTGCTGATTTGGTCCTGCCAACTTAAGAGAGATATTATTCTAAATATATTTTTTTTAATATAATAAAGATAAGACAATTAGAAAGAATCGATATTCAAAGTACAAAGTGCTGGCATTTTTCTTAATTTTCAACATTTCATAATTATTTTGTTTCTGGTCTACGCTAATATTAATGAAGATGTTTCTTGATTTTTTCATTTCAGATAAGCAGAAGATTTTCAGGAGAGACTGTACAAGGTCACTTGTACTAAAGTTTAATTTTGATTACTTTTACCTACAAAAAATTGTGTACGCTCTCAAAATGTGAATAAATGTGTACAAAACCCATTATAAAAATTCCTTATAGGTTAAAAATTGACGTTCAGACTAGAATACTCCCTTAAAGTAAGAGTTCTATCGATTACTGCAGACCACCTTGCAAGTGATCGTACCACAAATTCTCCCACTTAAAATTGTTTAAAAAATTATCCAACAATTCTAACCGATAAGATACCAAGATAAACTCTTAATAATTGCTTACGATCTTCCTTAAAGTGACCTGCTAGCTTCACATAGACTAGCTCTTCTCTTACTAAAATTCATAGAGACCAGCAACATCTCACAGAGACTCAACTTACCCTTGTTGAGCTTATCGAGCTGGGCTTCCAACGCCCTGAGCTTGTCGCGCTGGGCCTTGTTCTCCATGACGACGCGCTCCAGCTCGCTCTGAGCCTCCGTCTTAAAATCATTCGCCACTCTCACGGTCATCAGCAAGTCCGTTTGGAATTGCTCCCATTCGGCGACCTCCTCTTGCCTCAGCTTCCGTTCCTCGGCTAGAGCGCGTTCCAATTCGTATTGGCGCGTTTGGGCGTCGCGTTCCCTTCGCTGAGCCTCGTTCAACGCGGCCTTCAGCTCCCTTTTGTCCTCCAAATGCCTCTGGCATTGCGCCTGCAGCTCCGCCAGCGAGTCTCGCACCAGCTGGAGCTCCGTGCTCACCGATAATCGCTCGTCCTTCAGCTGATTCAAGCGGTACTCCAGGTCGTCGATGGCTGACTTTGCGTTATTCCGCGCTACCTGAACAGAGTACAAAGTTACAGGGGCCTGGTTATGATGTTTTGTAATTCGGGTTGAACAAATTAATTACAAATTACAGGTACTCTGTTAGAATATAAATTCTCTTGAGGTTTACGTAATTTGAACAATCTAGACTACTCCCCAGTTATTATTAATTTTATCACATTTACTGCTCAGCGTAGTAAAAGTTTGTATGAAATTTAAATATTTCAGGATAATTGGAACTCTACGATCCAAGATTTGTCACAGTATTTGTTTCGACAACCCCATCAGAAATCAAAATAACACTTTCAAATTCCTACGAAAAAATCCCATCACCCACACATCAACGTATCATGTTAATATATTGACTGCGGATCTTTATGCAAAATAAAGTCTTCGCGAACGTGCGTATTAATAATATGAACTTTACTTTCAGTCTTGCATATTGTTTGCATTTTGTAGTTCCTTGCACATTCGAATTTTTTATAAATGCATAAAGATCCGCAGTCTATTAATATATAAATCAAGAAATAGTGTTAACGTATAAATACATATACAGTATATATATATACTTTATATTCTTCTTGGAGCTGCGAATACTGATCCCTGAGCCGATCATGGTCGCAATGGGACCTGGCCAACTGCTCCTGCAGAGCTGCTGCCTGCGTCTCCAACGTGTCCTTTTCCCTCCTGGCCGCGTCCAGGAGTTCATCCGCCTCGCTCTTGTTTTCCACTTGCCGCGACTGTTCCAGCTCCTCGATTTTCGCTCGAGCGTTATCCAGCAACGTGGCTAGCCTGCTGATCTCTATACTTCGGTTCGCGCCCTCCTGTCTGGCCTCTGCCAGCTCTATGTCCAACTGTTTTCGTTCGTTGTTCGTCGCGTCCACCGTTGACTCGAGCAAATGCACGCATTTGGATAACCGTTCGGTCTCAGCTGCACTGGCTTCAGCAGCTGCTCGCAGACTCTTCAATTCTGATGATAGCTCCTCTTGCTTTTGCAAAAGAGATTCTCGCTCCTCTTGGGCACTCTGTAAGTAGTTAATAGTGTTAATAATAGTTAATGTGGGGTTGCTGTGGTGTCCGATGACTTCCTTCGAGATGGAATGAGTATTAAGGATACTACGTACTATTAAATTATGTTAATTATTAAACTGTACACTTCGAGATGGAGATGGAATATGTATTAGGGATACGTACTATTAGATTATGTTAGTTATTGAACTGTGCAGTTTATATTAATAGAAGAATTGTTATTTATTTGAATATATTATTAACACAAGACAAATAAAGACTCGTCTTTATTATATTGACACGACACGTCTGGCAAGGAACAGCAAATCAATCATATTAGGTACTAATACGTACTTTTAAAAGGTCTACTAATTTCTGCTCCCTCTCCGTATTGTACCCTTTGGAAGACTCCTGAGGCTGTTCTTCCCTCAAGAGGAGACCTTGCAGCGTATCCACCTTGGACCTGGAGTCTTCGAGCTTCTCCGTCTGTCTGCACAGCGACTCCAGAAGCACATCCTTCTCCTCTGTTAACCTTTCGTTATCAGCCTGCAGTTCCGTAAGCTGAGCCTATGAACAAAATCAATCCTGTATACCATTTCCTACAATTGAAAGTAAAGGTAATTAAAAGTAAAGAGAATTAAAAGTCTCTCTATAACCACTGACATACTTGTAAATCGCTCAGTTCCTGTATCGTTGCCTGCAACTCCTCGTTCGTCGAGTAATGCGTTTCCTCCATTTGCAATATTCTGTCCTGCAGACAGGCGACAGAGACTTCCGACACCGAGCTGGAAGAATGTTTGTCCCAGTCCGGAGTGGTGCACTGAGCACTATCAGGGGGCATGGTGGAGACAGGCGTGGAGCCTTCATCCTGAGGGATCGCTATGGACGCAGGAGCAGAGTTGTGCAGCCTCGAGGCATCCAGAAGCAGTTGCTGTTTCTCTGAATCCGACAACGGAGAGTGCGCTACATCCCTGAGCCTCGCACGCAGAGCTTCGTTTTCCTCTGTGAGCCGGTCTAACTCCAAGCTGTGCTGCTCCTGGATGGACGCAAAGAAAGAATGAATTTTTATACGAGTCGTATGATTTTCTACATGCGACGCACAAGCCCGGAGCAATTCTCAGGGGCAAGTTTGTACAGTTTTTAGAGCTTTAGAGAGCGAATGATCGCAAAGTGAATGATTGTGTTTCTTGGTGTTTTATTTACATGGAAAAAGGACAGAGAGGCCAAACGCTTATGTAAACGAGAACATGGAGGCTGATAGGAGTCTAATTACTCGAATGAAATGGTCCAGAGAAACGCAATACGCCTAGCCGCACGATATACTGTGACAATACCGAGAAATCTAAGTTCGCGAGTCAAGGTGACGGAGTTTCTCTTTAATCGTCGAAAATATAGGGAATTGTCATTGTTTGAGGTTAGGTTTGCGGTGGGTGAACTTTACAGGAAATTTCGAGAGATGAATCTCGAAAGCGTATATTTATGAATTGTTATGGAGATTTAAACAATTTTTGAGGAAAGGTTAACCTTGTCGTTTACCGTGCTCGAGGAGAGACAACGTTTTTTCATAGCGTTTGTTTCGCTTCACAAGCTTCCTTCCTTCGTAAACATCCCTCACAATTCGCGCCCTCTGGCCCTTAACCTCTCTTAGCTCGATAGTAATTCGTTTTCAATTAGGGTTTTAATTGATTTAGTTTGTAATACGAGAGTGCAACGATGTTGAGTTGCATTAATGTTGCTATTACAATAATATATATTTATTTATATGAATATGAGTATAACTTAACCTTTTCATAGCTGATAAAGCAGTGAATCATTTTTAATAATGATTTAAATTACTTCAGTGAATAAGAGTAGAATACAATAATTTTGACTTTCAATAATCATCAGATTCTGAGAATAAGAAAATATATAGGAAGTTTTTCTCTAGAATGGAAATCTAAATTTTAAAAAATGTGAGTACGACTTTGTTAAAGAATTCGCAAGGATTGGCCTCTTCAGAGCTTGTAGCTGTCTTAATAATGAACATTGCAGATTGAAACTTTTTTTCGTTATAGATTTTATGGAACTCTACACAAACTATTTAGAAAGTTTTTTTCCAAAGTGAAAATCCAAATTTTAAAAAATAGGAATACAGATTTGTTAGAATTCACAAGAATTGGCCTCTTCAGAGCTTGTAGTTTTCTTAATAATGAACATTTCAGATTAAAACTTTTTTTCCATGTAGATCTCATGGAATTCCACAGAAAATATGTAGAAAGTTTTTCTCCAAAGAGAAAATCCAAATTTTTAAAAATGAGAGTATGGCTTTGTTACAGAATTTATAATTCATATATTTATATGATTATGCTTATCCCTTAACCTTTTCATAGCTCATGACCCAGTGAATCATTTTTAATAATAAAATTTCAATTACTTCAGTGAATAAGACAAGAATACAACAATGTTGAGTTTTAATAATATTGGTGTATTTAATATGCATGTAAATAAGTCTATCCATTAATCATTTCCCAGCTCAAGACCTACTAATACAGTTTGAATAAAAGTCTTAATTAAATCAGTAACACTGGATTGCAAGAATGGTAACTTCTAATAATATTGCTATTTCTACAATGTATATGAGTAAGTCTATCCTTTAATCTTTTCATAGCACATGACCCAGTAACTCATTTTTAATACAAATTTCAAATATTCCAGTACAATATAATATAATTCACAGAAGCGCAACAATGTTAACTTCCAATACTATTGCTATTTCTACAATGCATATGAATATTAAACAATATAGCTCTCAAGAGTATTATAAATTTAATACTCATATCATTTAATACATTTAATACTCATATCATTTAATGGACAGTCCTTAGCAGAAATCAGTTAATTTTTCCATTTCCTTTATCTCTGTACATCTGAATTCTACATTACGTACTTCAAATGGGTTACTTCTGTCTTCTATCATCGATAAAAATTTGATCAACAGCACGATTGTATAACTAAAGCAATATCTATAACCATACCATATCCATGTGCTAGATAGCCCAATATTTTGTCAACCATAAACCGAAGTCAGGCTGCACTAAATGTGTTAACAGTTCGAGCAGTCTATCCTAACTAATCATGTATTAATAAACGATCAAGTAGTTGGTGCCCATTGAAACAATTAATAGCATTATGACTAAGGTATGTTTTGTTGGATAAGCTTTGTAAACATTTACAGATGATATCAACCAGCCATGAATATTATTCTTTCTACCAAAAATACTAACTGACACAATCCAGAAGTAATTATCCATACAACCAAAGAATTTGTACCAAATACCATAAAAATATACAAATAAGAATAAAAATGTAATATCATAAAAACCTGATACAAATAAGAATAAAAATATGATATAAATAAGAACAAAAATGTAATATCATAAATATATCATATGAATGATAAATGTATATTTTTTAAGGACTTCCACAAGCATAGGCTTCTACCTACATACGTTACTGGTTCAGAAGAACACTTCTCGCAAGGCGACACGAGAGTTAATTATTACCCGCAATTAATACGCAATTACACATGCTCGGAAAATGTAAATATGTCATTTCTCGCGCTACGTCAACGTTTGTTTGTTCTGGTTAACGAAGTGTAATGTTGTTTTCCTACATAGCATGTCCTACAAGTGACTTCATCTTTTCAACAATTAATGAATATTAACCTAGAAACAGAATTTTTAATTTATTTTATCTATTAGATCGTTTTCAGATTAATATTTTAGAATTCATACAATAAATAATAGATATGTATAATGCTACAACATTGGTAATAGGCAATAAAGTATTGGTTGCCATGGCAAGAAGCCGATATACAGGGTGTCCCAAAACTGTTGTAACACCTTGAAAGAGGTGGTTCAGGAGATGATTTGAAACAACTTTTTCCTTAGCAAAAATGTCCACAGCTTCGTTGAGGAGATTTTAACGGAAAACACTGACCAATCAGAGCGCGAGGCGGCCGCCCTCCCCAACCAATAAGAGCGCGAGTATGCCGGTGGAGCGCTCGCTGATTGGTCAGTGTTTTCTGTTAATATCTCCTCAACGCAGCCTCGGAAAACATTTTTGCAAAAGAAAAAGTTGTTTAAAATCACCTCCCGAACCACCCCTTTCAAGGTGTTACAAAATTTTTGGAATACTCCGTATATACAGAGTAGAAGTGATTTGAAACAACTTTTTCCTTAGGGAAAATGTTGTACGAGGCTTTGTTAAGGAGATATTAACGGAAAACACTGACCAATCAGCGGGTGCTCCATTGACATACTCGCGCTCTGATTGGTCAGTGTTTTCCGTTAATATCTGCTCAACGAAGCCTCGGACAACATTTTTGCTAAGGAAGAAGTTGTTCCAAATCACCTCACGAACCACCCCTTTCAATGACTTCCACCATTTTTGGGACACCCTGTGTAGATTAGCAACTGGTAGCGATCGGACAAATAATTAAATTGCATGGAATCTTTAATTTTCGTGACTTTAGTGTTACACAGTTTTATTGATTACATACGTTCTCAAATCAATGTTTCATAAGAAGCATACAATGATGTTTCAGTAATAGATAAAGTATTGGTTGCCATGGCAAATAAACGATTGATAGGCTACCGACTGGTAACTATTCGATAGATTAAACTTAATAATTTTTTTTTATTTTGATAACATTACTGTCGTACAATACTTTTACTGACTATTAGAAATGGTTTCGATTGATATTTCGTAATTCATAGAACGATAGGAGTTTAAGTGTTATCTCGATAATAGATGACGAGTATTGGTTACCATAAACAAAAAGTCTATTAATGAGCTACCTGTCGGTAACACTTTACCGACCAATAGCGGTTGGACAAGTAATTAAACTGAATAATATTGTTTATTTTCATAGCGTTAGTGTTACACAATATTTATTGTATCTATTAGACTCGTTTATAGATTAATATTTCATAATTCGTAGAATAATAGAAGCACACAATACTATCACCGTAATAGATAACGAAATATGTTAGCATGGTAAAAAGAAGATTAATCTATCGGCTGTCGGTCGGTAAAAGGGTTGAATTTCGTATAAGTCGCTGAGGTTACAAGGAAACCAGTATAGTACAGTATATTCTTAATTAAAGCTCTAGGTTAATCAACGTATAACAGATCAAGTACTCACATAAAATTAAATATAAAAGAAAAACTAAGGCTCTAGGCAGAAGCGAAATTATTGAGATTCTGTTATTACGGACAGGGGAGTATTCCACACAAAAAATTGCAAAACTAATAAATAGTTTGCCCGACTTAACCCTTCACCGACCAGTGGTGTATCAGCTACCATGGCAAAAAGTTCATTAATAAATAGTCTACCTGTCGGTAAAGTGTTGAGATATCTACAGAATAAATTTTCCCAATTTCAAATTTCAGAATAAAAGTTACAGACACCATTCACATCTATCACCAACATAATTTGGATACATGCTTGTTTATTTATGCAGATAGAGATGAATGTAAATAGTTGGTAATAGATGTGAATGGTGTCTGTAACTTTTATTCTGAAATTTGAAATTGGGAAAATTTATTCTGTAGATATCTCAACACTTTACCGACAGGTAGACTATTTATTAATGAACTTTTTGCCATGGTAGCTGATACACCACTGGTCGGTGAAGGGTTAAGTCGGGCAAACTATTTATTAGTTTTGCAATTTTTTGTGTGGAATACTCCCCTGTCCGTAATAACAGAATCTCAATAATTTCGCTTCTGCCTAGAGCCTTAGTTTTTCTTTTATATTTAATTTTATGTGAGTACTTGATCTGTTATACGTTGATTAACCTAGAGCTTTAATTAAGAATATACTGTACTATACTGGTTTCCTTGTAACCTCAGCGACTTATACGAAATTCAACCCTTTTACCGACCGACAGCCGATAGATTAATCTTCTTTTTACCATGCTAACATATTTCGTTATCTATTACGGTGATAGTATTGTGTGCTTCTATTATTCTACGAATTATGAAATATTAATCTATAAACGAGTCTAATAGATACAATAAATATTGTGTAACACTAACGCTATGAAAATAAACAATATTATTCAGTTTAATTACTTGTCCAACCGCTATTGGTCGGTAAAGTGTTACCGACAGGTAGCTCATTAATAGACTTTTTGTTTATGGTAACCAATACTCGTCATCTATTATCGAGATAACACTTAAACTCCTATGGTTCTATGAATTACGAAATATCAATCGAAACCATTTCTAATAGTCAGAAAAAATATTGTACGACAGTAATGTTATCAAAATAAAAAAAAATTATTAAGTTTAATCTATCGAATAGTTACCAGTCGGTAGCCTATCAATCGTTTATTTGCCATGGCAACCAATACTTTATCTATTACTGAAACATCATTGTATGCTTCTTATGAAACATTGATTTGAGAACGTATGTAATAAATAAAACTGTGTAACACTAAAGTCACGAAAATTAAAGATTCCATGCAATTTAATTATTTGTCCGATCGCTACCAGTTGCTAATCTACACAGGGTGTCCCAAAAATGGTGGAAGTCATTGAAAGGGGTGGTTCGTGAGGTGATTTGGAACAACTTCTTCCTTAGCAAAAATGTTGTCCGAGGCTTCGTTGAGGAGATATTAACGGAAAACACTGACCAATCAGAGCGCGAGGCGGCCGCGCTCGTCGACCAATCAGAGCGCGAGTATGCCGGTGTAGCGGCCGCGGTATCGAAGACTACGCGCTAAACGGCTGCGCTCATAGGCTACCGCGTGCACTCCACCGGCATACTCGCGTTCTGATTGGTCGGAGAGCGCGGTCGTCTCGCGCTCTGATTGGTCAAGCTTCTTACTGAATATTTCCTCAACGAAGCCTCGGACAACATTTTCGCTAAGGAAAAAGTTGTTTCAAATCACCTCCCGAAACACCCCTTCGAAGGTGTTACAACATTTTTGAGACATCCTGTATATCGGCTTCTTGCCATGGCAACCAATACTTTATTGCCTATTACCAATGTTGTAGCATTGTACATTCCTATTTTTATTGTATGAATTCTAAAATATTAATCTGAAAACGATCTAATAGATAAAATAAATTAAAAATTCTGTTTCTAGGTTAATATTCATTAATTGTTGAAAAGATGAAGTCATTTGTATGACATACTTTTTTTAACAAAACAACGTTACACTTCGTTAACCGGAACAAACGATTCTGAATTATTAATGAAAAAAGCTCCTATTATAATATTTGCAGAGTGGTATAAATTCCTTTAATTTAGGCACAATTTTCTTAGATTCAGAGTTACAAAGATTTTACTTTGTACAAAGATCCTCGTTCTACTGATAAGCTAGAGCAAATAGGTGTATGTACTGTATGTACGTGGAATGTCGGTAGGTTCGGTACTATACAGAAACGTTTCAGGACTACTCGTTGATAACGATCTGAAATATGCCTGCTCGCTGGCAGGGATCGGGTTTCCCCGCATTCTTCATCCGAATCGTTATCAGTTTACCGAGAGGGACGACGTTTCGTACGTTCGATGAGATACACTGCCGAGACCGACCAGCTGTTGCTCGCCCAGTTTTCATCTCGTCGAGGAAGTGAAATTTCTGTTACGTAACGCGCTGCCAGATTTCTCGGGATATCAACTGCTACTAACGAGGAGAAAGATTCCTCGTATAAAGAGTATAGGAAATATCGTAAATATATTAAAAAGGAGAAATTTTGCTGAATTTTATTGTAAATCCTACTGTTACCGACTGGTGTTCACGATTTACCGACAGGTGAACTGTTGATAGGGTTTATTATGTATTATTATTGAGATAGTATTGTGTATTATATAATGTGATTGTATGAATATTACTTTTGAGATTCTAGTAGATTAAATAAATATTGTGCGATGAATGAGAAATATTGCTGAATTTAATTGTAAATTCTACTATTACCGACTGGTGTTCCTAATTTACCGACAGGTGGACCGTTGATAGGGTTTATTATGTATTTTTGTCGAAAAAGTATTGCATACTATATAATGTGATAGTATGAATATTACTTTTGAGATTCTAGTAGATTAAATAAAACTCTGAATTTGTTGTGCCCCAAACATGGTATTTTTGGGATCGCTGTGAGCGATGTTTGCGGGCTCGATCGTTCGACTTCTCGGTCAATTTTTAACGAAGCAACCGAGAAGAGAGAGAGAGAGAGAAAGAGAGAGAGAGAGAGAGAGAGAGAAATAATTGCGGAGAGTTGGTGGGACTTAAGACAGCTTGCGTCAACTCTCTGGGAACGAGTACGAATACATATACAACATACTTCGCGAAGGATGGTTAGGCGAGTATCGGGGGAGAGGAAGGAAAGCAGAAGCTGCTTAAGGAGGCCACGGAATCTGCAGACGTCTCACCGTCGACCAGTTTTCTCATACGGTCGACATATGGTATGTACCCGGTGGTCCGAACTTCTGCTTCTACCTGAGCCTTATGGTATTTAGTGGGGCAATCCTTGACCTTTGTTAAAGTGTTAACACTTTACAGGGGTTGAATGTGTAATCAAATTTAGAAATATTTAGTATTTTGACGATATTAGTACTGCACGATATCTATTTCGTTTATTAGTTGAATGTTAAATGTTGATTATATGTTAGCTCAATGATAGATAACGTTTTATTATTCTGGCTAATCTTGAAAAATTTGTGGGTTGATTAATAATGAACATTTTGGTTTGAAACTTTGTTTCGTTATAGATCTCATAAAACCCTACAAAAAATATTTAGAAAGTTTGTCTCTAAAGTAAAAATCAAAATTATTAAAAATGGGAGTACACCTTCGTTAAAGAATTCACATGGATTAGCCACTTCAGAGCTTCTACCTATCTTAATAATGAACATTTTGAATTGAAACTTTTTTCCCCTGTACATCTCATGGAACCCTACAGAAAACATGTAAAAAGTTTTTCCCTAAAGTGAACACACAATTTTTTAAAAATAAGAAAATTGATTTTTTCAAGAATTCAGTAGGTGCCTCCTAATTTTCTAAAATTCACAACTCTTTTAATAATGAACATTTCAGATTGAAACTTTTTTTCCTTGTACATCTCATGCAAACCTACAGAAAACGCATACAAAGTTTTTCTCTAAAGTGAAACCCCAATTTTTTAAAAATGAGAGTCCGTCGATTTCGACGATCGTAACGCGAAACGATGCGAGGAAATAACGTGAACAAAGCGCAAACGTTCGAGTGATACACCTGATCGGCGCGAAACGTGTGTCATAAAGCTAACAGGCTCGTAAAGCTGAGTTCGTTCGACCATAATGGGCCTATCTTTGCAACGCTATCAATTCTGTGTACGTGTCACGTGGCCAATCGTGGAATCAGGAACGCGATATATCTTCAAGGGGCCCGTGTTGTAGACAATATCAATTCTACGATACAAAATGCAATTTTTCATCGACAGAAAAAGATTGAGTAGTCTATTAAACCGCAGACAATGAAATATTACAATTAAAACGAAGTAAACTTAATTTAGTCCCAATGTAAATAAATTATACGAAGGAATACAAAACCTGGGCCTAACTTTAAAATACCACGTTTTAAATTCAATATATATACTTAAATTAATAACCATAAATTAAATATATTAATCTAAAATCAAAGAAACTCGATTTAATTTCAAAATAAGCAGCATAAATATCATAAGCTACCGTTAAACACCTAAATACTACTAAAAATATTAGTAATACTAGTCTCTCGTTTATTAAAAGACTGCAACGAACAGTCTGGAAAGCTTGGAGTTTCCAGATTCCTGATGACTATATAGACTGCGGATTTTTATGCATTTATAGAAAATCTGAACGTGCAAGAAATTATAGAATGGACACAGCAGCCAATAATATAAAAAAATATTGAAAGTAAAGTTCATATTATAATACTTTCAGAGTAAAATAAATTCCTATTTAGGTTCAGTTTTTGTAGGTGCGCTTACAAAGATTTTATTTTGCATAAAGATCCGCAGTTTTCTGATAACTATATCCACTTCATGGAACTGGTATGCACCGTTGCGATTTTTACAACGACTTTAGCATGCTTTAGCAGAAATACGAGTCTTCCAAACTCTGGCAATCTTGAAAGTATTTCAATACAATCAACTGGAAACATCTACACAAAAGAAAACGAATTAGAGAGCAACAAAGATCAATAGTTTGATTTAATAGAAAAATATTACTTTTTGGAATATCTCATTCTTGAACATTTTTGAAAGGAAAGATGATTCAGTTTCAAAGTAAATAGATTGCAGGGAGAAATATGAAACCTAGGAGTCGAGATACCAACTTTCCACCACTAAAACACAGCAGTTAACATCTAGGATGGCTTAGGACTCTTGGGATTCTCTATCGTTGGCATACAGTGCCAAACTCTAGCAATCTTGAAAGTATTTCAATACAATCAACTGGAAACATCTAAAAAAAAGAAATAGAAAGCAACAAAAATGAATTGTTTGATTTAAAAGACAAATATTACTCTTTCGAATACCTTATTCTTGGGAATTATTGATAGGAAAGATGATACAGTTTCAAAATAAATAGATTGCAGGGAGAAATATGAAACCTAGGTTTGCGATACCACCTTTCCACCACTAAAACACTGCAGTTAACATCTACGATGACTTGGGACTCTTGGGATTCTCTATCGTTGGCATACAGTGCCAAACTCAGGCAATCTTGAAACGACAAACAACTACAAACCACCAAAAACCAATTATTTCATCCAGAAAACTACTCTTCTCTCCTTCAAATATCTAAATTTAAAATTGAAAGAAGCTCGATTTACTTTGAAAATAAACAGCATAATCCGGTGCCAAGACACTCGACGTTGTCCTCGTCATCCAGAATATATCCGTGGGCGCGAGACAGCGTTGAAAAACGGCGTGTACAAAAAAATCAGTACGCGTTCTAAATATATGAACTGAACGTTTGGACGGTGGATTGCGAGGAGGCGACGAAATATCCCGTTGGCATCGAATCTCTCGGCCATGGGAAAAAATTAAGAAAATAAAAACAAATATTTTTTAAACCGTACTATTTGGTGGAATTTTGTGGAATGTCCCATATATATCGATTATACATTCATGATAAATATTTATTACATGTTATGTAATACTATGTAATATTATGTAATTTATTAGATATTATGTATACATTTATTGCATATTGTAAATATTTATTTACAAATATTCGATACTCATTAAATATTGAATATTAACTTGAATGAAAAAGAATCTAAGCAATTAAACCTGAAATTGTCGCGTTACTTGTATTATACAGGGTGTCCCAAAAGTGTTGGAGATCATTGAAAGGGGTGATTCGGGAGGTGATTTGAAACAACTTTTTCCTTAGCGAAAATGTTGTCCGAG